AGGGTGCTCCCCGCTATCAGTTTCTCCACTGCTTCCCTCATAGTTCTGCTTTCTGCAGCAGGCTGGCTTCTTTTGTTGGAAAACATGACTGTAGACAAACTGAAATCTCTAAAGATTATGATCTCAAAGGAAGGAAGAGCTTCTTCCTCTTTTAAGTAATACATGAAATCTCTGAGAAAGTGCCAACTGACCAGCCTGGGTCACATGCACAACGCCAGGCGGGACAGGAAGGATCAGGGCACATAACTGACCCTCCTGCCAAGACCACGTGGAAGGGTCAGGGGTGCTCCCTCAGGGAAGTCACAGGGTCCTCACCAGAAAGGCAGGAACCGTAGCTGTGCACCGTAAGCTGCAGGCTTCTCTATACTTCAGCGCCCAGCACAAGCATGGCACACAGTAGATGCTCAATACATGTTTGTTGTGTGGATATTGAACAAACACCTGGCTGGAAATGGAGCCCTTGGGTAACTCATATTGGATGAGGCAAGGGGCTGCCCCAGAGCATGGACTCTGTTTGAGGCTGTCCTTTGAAATGTTGCCACAAGCACTCACAGGGACCCAAGGACAGACCCTGGGCAGCCGTCCGGCTCCATCATGCCCAAACCCGGTGGTGCCCCAGGTTAGCAAGCTAGAAGGTCGAGCTCCCCAGGCAATGCGCTGGCCTAGAAACTGCCCACCCGCCTCCTTCCAACCAGTGGAAAATTGCATGGAGAGCAGAGTTTCCTCTCAAAGTAACTGGTCAGGAACTCTGTAGCTGCCTATGAATCACGTCGGGGAATTTTTGTTCTCAGTCTTCCTGATATTTTATTGATGAGTTCTGGCGAGAAGTTTGAGGGACTTTTTCCCCCTTTTTCGGGAAGCCTAACCAATTCTTCGGCTACAGCGTTTTTTCTTTCGGAGAGCTGGGGGACTGGGTTAATGAGACCTGTGGGTACAGCCTGCCAAGCCCAGAGTTTTTTCCAGCCTGAAGTTTACAAGAACCTACATACATAAATCACCATTCCCCTCTCATTTATTTTTCATGACTTAGTTACCTGGAATACGTTTTTATGTGAATAACCAAAAGAGCCAGGGAATAACAGAAGAGAGGAAAGGGGAAAAGCTATTTCAGAATGCATTAAATTTGTAAAGTTAAATAGCCCCATTATAGTCAGAATGTGGTTGAATAGAGTCATTTCCTTAATTACCTTTCCTTGGTCCCCAGATGTTAGACTGAGGCCTGGTAAGTTAATTCCTAAAAATATTATAAGTAAACTTTTTGGCAACAAAAATTCCCAAGAGGGATGGTGGTTCTTAATATGAAAGTATAATTTTAGGGGAAAGGAAAGTTTCTGTCCCTCTAAGGTATCCACATGCATTGTAGGAGTCTATGTGCAAGCAGTCGTTTTCACCACACTATCGTCTCTCTGAGTTTCCAAGTGACAGAGCCTCAAAGTCTGCCTTTCCCCTGCCTGCCTGCCCCTACTTTCCCAAAAGAATTACACTATAATTTTCCTACCTTTTTTTTGAGTCAGAGTTTCACTCTTATTGCCCAGGCTAGAGTGCAATGGCATGATCTTGGCCCACTGCAACCTCTGCCTCCTGGGTTCAAGCGATTCTCCTGTCTCAGCCTCCCAAGTAGCTGGGATTACAGGCACTCACCACCACACCCAGCTAATTTTTTTATTTTCAGTAGCGACAGGGTTTCACCATGTTGGCCAGGCTGGTCTTGAACTCCTGACCTCAGGCGATCCACCCGCCTTGGCCTCCCAAAGTGCTGGTATTACAGGCGCGAGCCACCGCACCTGGCCTCTACCTTTTTTTCTTTTTAAATGGGCTCAGCCTCACACCTAGGCCCACACCTAGTAAGCTTGCCATCTGATCTCTACCCAGGATGAAATAATTCTGCTGCTGGGAAAAGAGGTCAGCCGTCTCTCAGATTATGAAATTGAATCCAAATACAAAGACGTCATAATAGCAAACCTGCAGAAGGAAGTGGCTGAGCTGAGTCAGAAGCTGTCGGAGACCACCACCTCCAGGCAGAATGAGAGGGAGATCTCACAGAAGTGTCAGGTTCTGGATGAAGACATCGATGCCAAACAGAAAGAGATCCAGAGCTTGAAGAGCCAGGTAGGCAGAGCCTGAGAGGCACAGCACAGCTCTCAGACCAAGGCCTGGGAGGCTCCAAGAGCCCCAACCAAGGTGAGACACCCGGAGTTAGGGAACAGGTGGTCAGTGGAGCGTGGTGGTTAAGAACACAAATCCACAAGGCTGAGAGACTCGGTAGTTTCCTAGCATGGTAAGAACAAGATCAGCCTTTGTTCAGCACTGGCCACGAGCAAGAACTAGTACAAAGCACTTTGGATTAACTTATTTAAACCTCACAGTCCTCTGACACATCCATTCTACAGATGAAGGGTCTAAGGCAGGCCCAGCCGGCACTGGCCTACAACCCGGTAATCTGCAACTCTGGGAGGCCAAAGCAGGCCGTACACTTGAGGTCAGAATTCAGAGACCCAGCCCTGCCAATAGGTAAACCTGGTCCCTATTAAAAAATAAAAATCTCAACCTGTAATCCCCACGCACTTTGGGAAGGCCGGAGAACGGTGGAATCAACAGTCAGAGATCAGCAGAACCCATCCATGGCTACACGGTGAAACCCCGTCTCACTAAAAATACAAAAAACTAGCGGCGATGGTGGCGGGGCCGTGTAGTCCCAGCCACTCGGGAGGCTGAGGCAGGAGAAATGGCATAAAACCCGGGAAGGCCCGAGCTTAGAGTGAGCTGAGAGTCCGGGCCATTGCACCTCCAGCCCTGGGCGACTGGGCGAGACTCCCGTCTCAAAAAAAAAAAAAAAAAAAAAAATTCCCAGGGTGGTAGTGCATGCCTGTTCCAAACTACTGAAGAGGCCGAGGCTGGAACCTGGGAACAGAGTAGTGAACCGAGATTTGCCCACTGCACTCCAACCTGGGTGACAGAGTGAGACACACTGTCTCAAAAGAAAGAAAGAAAAAAGTCTAAAGACAGGCCCAGAGACACCAGGAACCCCGCGTACCAGCTTGCCAAGCACGTGAGAAGTGGCGGTTCAATTTGAACTCCAGTCCACCCTTCTTGGCAGACCCCATGTTCTCACCCCGATTTCCCTATTTCCCCACGATGCTGTCACTTCAAGTGACCTGCATCTCACCCCCCAAATCCAAGCCCAGCCAGAGAGCGCTATGGGCAGTTAGCTAAAGTGGGAAAGGAACCAGCCCAGCTGTCCAAACACCATGAGGCCTTACCCAAACCCGAAGGCAGTAGTTACTGGTCCCTTACCAGGAATTTCATCAACAACCCAAAAATTTCCACCTGGAATTCTGAATTTCCAGTTCATGAACGTTTCCTCTTGAAACTTGATTCAAATTCCTTTTTTACTTTAACATTGGTTGGTAATGGCCGGGCGCGCGTGGTCACGCCTGTCAAATCCCCAGCCACTTGGGAGGCTGAGGCAGAAGAATCGCTTTGATCCTGGGTGGTCGGAGGAGTTGTAGTGAGCTTAAGATTTGTGCCACCGCACCTTTAGCCTGGGGCCCAAACCAGAGCAAGACTCTGTCTCAAAAAAAAAAAAAAAAGAAAGCCAGAAAGAATCTACTCTGACTAATTAATACTCCTCCCCCCACTTTGATCTTGGCTCATAATTGAAAGATGATAATTTTATAACAAAGCATCTCTAAGCTAAAGGGTGCAGTTGGTCTGAATCCAAATCAAGTTTCATCTGCTCACATTTTAGTCTCTTAAATATTCTACTGCCAACAGAACATTCAAGCAGACGTATAAGCCACATGGCAGGTTGATTTATTGTTCTGATTACTTTATTCTCCCGGGTCTCCTGAAAGTGTGTGCATAACGATTTGCTCTCAAAGCCCTTCGATCCGATACGATACCCCAAGACGATGCGTACCACCATGCAGTCTGCGCTGCCTGTGCTAATTAGAAGCTGAATTAGTATCTTGAAGCAATCAATCTTCCTAGCACTATTAACTTTCTTATGACCCAGGGCCCATTTTATTACACAGTATAACAGGCACTAAACACCTGGGGATTTATGCCAATTACGGACAATATGGATATTTATTTTGGTCATGAAATTGATGAAGATGTTTGAAGACCACTTGGAGTTTTCCCACAGTCTGATATCCTAAAGCTCTGATACTTAGATTGAAACATTTCCTGTCTGTCAGACAGCACTGGAGTCTGGGGGATGTGTTTTCCCATCCCTTCTGGAAGTTTCTCTCTGTGTTGTGCCTCTGGTATGCAAGCAAAAGCATTAAGCTGAGAAGAGCTGTAACTTTTAAAACAAAAAAATCCAAGTGCCTTTTTATGGGAGCATTGCATGGCCCCACAGAAAACAGGAAGAAGTGAAATAATTTTTTTCACTCCAAGTTTTCCAAAGTGCAGACCTGCACATGTATGGCCTTGGAGAGGGTTGGGGCTTTGCAGCCCATGTCCCTCCATCTTCTAGTGAGCACCCCTTCTCCAGTGTCTCAGATGCCCCAGAGAAAATGTGAGTGATGCACGAAATGGGCCGTATAAATTGTGAAACCTTGATCCTTCTGTTAATTCTACCACCGAGTCATAGCCACAAGGTTTTCAGGGACAGACACTAAAACAGACTATGAGCGCCACCTGGTGGCCAGGTGCAGGGCACACCGTATCTGCATTGTTGGTGTCCCCTGACTCCCACCCTGTCATATGTTATGATATGCCTGAAACACGATGTGATGATTAACAGGAATTCTTGCACTCCTCTTAATAACAGTCACACTGGTGTTTAAGTGAGCCTAGGCAAGGCTTACAAATGCACACAGAAATATTATCAATCTAACTTCCTGGAGACAGGCAAGAGAAGCAGAAGCTAAAACACATCGTAGAATAATCAGAACTAGTATCTATGTGTGCGCCAGGCATGGTCTGAGTACTCTTACATGTACTAACTTATTAAAATACTTTCAACAACCCTGAAATTACGACCATCACCGCACTTACAGAGTTAAAAAGTGGGACAGAATTGGTGTCCTCCCTACCTTTACGCAGAGACCAATTTTGCAGACGGCAGTCTGGCTCCTGTGTCCCTACCATGCTCCACAGCCTCAGGCTCTTAATGCTGGTTCCTAGAGCCACGTGATAAGTGGGAAGAACTAGAAGCAGGCAACTAAAGCCTGGATTTGGATCATAACTCTACCACTGACTGATCTGTGCAATCCCAAGCAAGCAACCTCACCCCCTGAGTCTTGATTTCCTCACTTGCAAAATGAGAGCTGATATGGCGTGGCTGCATCCCCACCAAATCTCAACTTGAATTGTATCCCAGAAATCCCATGTGTTGTGGGAAGGACCCAGGGGGAGGTAATTGAATCGTGGGGGCCAGTATTTCCTGTGCTGTTCTCGTTATAGTGAATAAGTCTCAGGAGATCTGATGGGTTTATCGGGGGTTTCCACTTTTGCTTCTTCCTCATTTTCTCTTGCTGCCACCATGTAAGAAGTGCCTTTCACTTCCCACCATGATTCTGAGGCCTCCCCGACCATGTGGAACTGTAAGTCCAATTAAACCTCTTTTTCTTCCCAGTATCGGGTATGGCTTTATCAGCAGTGTGAAAACAGACTAATACACTAAATTGGTACCAATACAGTGGGGCATTGCTGAAAAGATACCTGAAAATGTGGAAGCAACTTTGGAACTGGTTAACAGAGGTTGGAACAGTTTGGAGGGCTCAGAAGAAAACAGGAAAATGTGGGAAAGTTTGGAACTTTCTAAAGACTTGCTGAATGGCTTTGACAAAAAGCCTGATAGCAATATGGACAATCAGGCCCAGGCTGAGGTAGTCTCAGATGGAGATGAGGAACTTGTTGGGAACTGGAGCAAAGGTGACTCTTGTTATGTTTTGGCAAAGAGGCTGGCGGCATTTTGCCCCTGCCCTAAAGATTTGTGGAACTTTGAACTTGAGAGAGATAATTTAGTGTATCTGGCGGAAGAAATTTCCAAGCAGCAAAGCATTCAAAAGGTGACTTGGGTGCTGTTAAAAGCATTCCATTTTAAAAGGGACACAGCATAAAAGTTCAGAAAATTTGCAGCCTGATGATGGAGTAGAAAAGAAAAACCCATTTTCTGGGGAGAAATTCAAGCCAGCTGCAGAAATTTGCTTAAGTACCAAGGAGACTAATGTTAATCCCCAAGGCCATGGGGAAAATATCTCCAGGGCATATCAGAGACCTTCACAGCAGCCCCTCCCATCACAGGCCCGGAGGCCCAGGAGGAAAAAGTGGTTTTGTGGGCCAGGCCCAGGGTCCCCATGCTGTGTGCAGCCTAGGGACTTGGTGCCCTGTATCCCACACCCTCCAGCCATGGCTAAAAGGGGCCAACATAGAGCTCAGGCTGGGGCTTCAGTGGGTGGAAGCCCCAAGCCTTGGCAGCTTCCACATAGTGTTGAGCCTGCAGGTGCACAGAAGTCAAGAATTGAAGTTTGGGAACCTCCACCTGAATTTCAGAAGATATATGGAAACGCCTGGATGCCCATGCAGAAGTTTGCTGCGGGGTCGGGGCCCTCATGGAGAACCTTTGCTAAAGCAGTGCAGAAGGGAAATGTCGGGTTAGAGCCCCTTCACAGAGTCCCTACTGGGGCATTGCCTAGTGGAGCTGTGAGAAGAGGGCCCCCATCCTCCAGACCCCAGAATGGTAGATCCACCAATGGCTTGAATCGTGCTCCTGGAAAAGCCGCAGACACTCAATGCCAGCCCGTGAAAGCATCTGGGAGAAAGGCCATACCCTGCAAAGCAACAGGGGCAGAGCTGCCCAAGACCATGGAAACCTACCTCTTGCATCAGCATAATCTGGATGTGAGACCTGGAGTCAAAAGATCATTTTGGAGCTTTAAAGTGTGACTGCACTACTGGATTTCAGACTTGCATGGGCCCTGTAACCCCTTTGTTTTGGCCAATTTCTCCTATTTGGAATGGCTGTATTTACCCAATACGTGTACCCCCATTGTACCTAGGAAGTAACTAGCTTGCTTTTGATTTTACAGGCTCATAGGCAGGAAGGACTTGCCTTGTCTCAGATGAGACTTTGGACTGTGGACTTTTGAGTTAATGCTGAAATGAACTAAGACTTTGGGGGACTATTGGGAAGGCATGGTTGGTTTTGAAATGTGAGGACATGAGATTTGGAGGGGCCAGGGGCAGAATGATATAGTTTGACTGTGTCCCCACCAAATCTCAACTTGAATTGTATCTCCCAGAGTTCCCACGTATTGTGGGAGGGACACAGGGGGAGGTAATTGAATCATGGGGGCTGGTCTTTCCCATGCTATTCTTGTTATAGTGAATAAGTCTCATAAGCTCTGATGGGTTTATCAGAGGTTTCCACTTTTGCTTTTTCCTCATTTTCCCTTGCCGCCGCCATGATTCTGAGGCCTCCCCAGTCAGTGGAACTGTAATTCCAATTAAACCTCTTTTTCTTTTTCTTTTTCTTTTTTTTTAGACGGAGTCTCGCTCTGTCACAAGGCTGGAGTCCAGTGGTGTGATCTCGGCTTACTGCAAGCTCTGTCTCCTGGGTTCATACCATTCTCCTGCCTCAGCCTCCCGAGTAGCTGGGACTACAGATGCCCACCATCACGCCCGGCTAATTTTTTGTGTTTTTAGTAGAGACGGGGTTTCACCATGTTAGCCAGGATGGTCTCGATCTCCTGACCTCATGATCCGCCTGCCTCGGCCTCCCAAAGTGCTGGGATTACAGGCCTGAGCCACTGTGCCCGGCCTAAACCTCTTTTTTTCCCCAGACTCGGGTATGTCTTTATCACAGCATGAAAACAGACTAATACAGGAGCATTCCCCAGAGCCTCCTGCAGATAGACCTCATATGAGGCTGTGTTGAAGGAGTAGTGTCTGTGAGTGAGCTTTGTAAGCTCTAGAGTGTTCTATGAGATAAAACCTGTTGTTATCATTTGAGGGAATTAATTTTATAACGTGCTTCCCTCTCTTGAACTTTGCTCTGTATCCAGTCAGTACTGGGTGACCTGGAACTAACAGGTGGTCTGTTTGTGGCTGAGAGTCCAAAGGTCATTGGAAGGCACATTAAGGAACCAGGTACCCCCAGTGGCAGCCGGGCCTGGGCCCCTTTATGGGCACAAAGATAAGGTTCATATTTTGGTGACATAGGAAGTGGTGGTCCTTGAAGGAACAGGCCCTCCCCTGTCCCTCCCACTAGTTAAAACTAAAAAGCTTAGTTTCCCCAACAGCCCAGCCAAAAATCAATCTGAATCTTTCTGTCAAGCTTGTAAGAAGTACCTGTGTGTCTCCCAGGTGTGGGCCAGCCCCCCTCTGACTGTGCCGCCTCCTCCCACAGATCAGTGCCCTGCAGAAAGGGTACAGCCAGGTGCTGTGCCAGACCCTGTCGGAGCGGAACTCAGAAATCACATCCCTGAAGAACGAGGGCAAGAACTTAAAGAGGGACAACGCTATCGCATCAGGTGAGCCCTTTATGGAGTTGGGCCTGGGAGCTGCCACTCCCGCACCCCATGTTCTTGGCCACAGCAGACATCACCAATCAACCATATACTTTTTGTTACTGAACTTGGCTGCAGCCTCAAAGTTCTTCCCAGCACCCCTTTAGGCAGCTCCTGTCCATGAATCTGAGTTCGTTCGTCCTCGGAGGTTTATGTGCCATCTCTTAGCTAAAGGGCCTGCTGAACATGGACCTCACCAGGGAGCACACAGGACAAGCTGTGGCTCAGGCAGTCCCATGAGCCAGTTTGCTATGAATGCGAACTAGAATGTGGCTAAAATGGGGTTGCCTGTTTAAGGCACCCAGCCTCTTACCCAATCTCACACTGGTACTCTTGGGCCAGAGCGAAAGCATTTTGCTAATTGAGAGGTAGCTGATACTCCAGAACTTGGGTGGGAATGGGGCAGCCAACTCATGGCCCACCCTTGCCAGGCACAGTTGTTTCTTAGCCTGGATTCATTCATTCATTCATTCATTCATTCATTCATTCAACACATTTATGGAGCATCTGCTAGATGCCAGGCACTGTTCTAGGCACTGGGGAGAGAGAGCCCTGAGCAAACGGTCAAGATCCCTCTGCTCACAGGGCTCACACGTGGGAGAGGATGACAGACAGTAAGAAGTAAACAGATAAATGAACAAGCCCATGCCAGAGAGAGATCCGTCCTCCAGAAGAAATAAAGCTGGACACCGTGGTGGGGAAGCGCTTCATGGGATGAAGTGAAAGAGAATAGCTCAGTGCAAGCTTGTCCAGCCCACAGCCTGCGGGCCACATATGGCCCAGGACAGCTTTGAATGGGGCCCAACACAAATTCATCAACTTTCCTAAAACATTATGAGATTTTATTTTTTGGCAATTTTTTTTTTTTTTTTTTTTTTTAGCTCGTCAGCTATTGTTAGCATGAGTGCATTTTATGCGTGGCCCAAGACCATTCTTCTTCTTCCAGTGTGGCTCAGGGAAGCCAAAAGATTGGACACCTCTGGCTTAGTACCTGGGCAGGGATATCTCTGAGGAGGTGGGAGGGGCTGTCGGGAGGTCCCTGGGAACCGTATGCCGGGCAGAGATCATGGGTGTAAAGGCCCTGGGCAGGACCAAGCCGCAGTGTGGGAGCAGCGGCCAGCGAGTGTGGCTGGGGTCAGGGAGCAAGGGGCTGTGGGACCCGCTGGGGTCAGGGGGGAGGCAGGGCCACATTACAGGGGAGGGGTTCAGCTTTTCTTCTAAGTGTGATGGGACACATTAGGGTTTTTAAGGCAGAGAATGACATATCTAGAGACCTGCAGATGATGGGGCCTTGGACAGAGAAAGGGGGAAGAGAGAAAAGCAGGTGGTGGGGAGAGAATGAGTCCGGGTTGGGGATATTGCTCCTAAAGTCCCCCCTGCACAGCAGGAAACATGCCCGTGGCTGTGAAAGCTGAGCCTGGCATTGAGCCAGCACCATCACTGTCTCTGCACGACCCAGGCCGCCTGGCCGGGCCTTTCCCTCTGCCTCATTCTGCAGTCCCCCTCCCCACTCCAGCTTCTACCTCTGCTCTTCCCTAACTTGGAATGTTCTTGGATACTTGTGAGCGCTATGGGCAGGGCTGCTCTGGGTACCAGGCATACAAGGGGGATCTCGCTGGGCCCTGCCCTCCTCCCCGGGGTCTGCCCATCACACCCCATCCACGCTGCAAGCTTGTCTCAGACACCACTTCTCTAATCAAGGAGTCAGATAGACCTGGGCTCAGGTATGACCTGGGATGGGCTACACTCTCACAACTCTAAGTGTGGTCCCTGGACCAGCAGCATCACCTGGATCCTGGTGAGAAACTGGGAATTTCAGGCCCCGCTCCTGACCTTCCGATCAGAGTCTTCACTTTCACAAGCCCCCTGGCTGCTGCGTGTGCACACTCAAGCTCGAGAAGCACTGGGCCGAGTTACGCTGCAGTGACAAACAGTCCCCCAAGTCTCAGTGCTCACTATAGACAGGTTCATCTCCTGCTTCCTCCCTGGGTCCATCATGGGTCAGTAGGGGCTTTGGTCATTGTGGCCACTCAGTGACCCAGGCTCACAGAAACCATGACAACACATCACAAACCCCATCTTCCATGGCAAGAGAGGCAGATGGAGGAACAAGGTCCGGATTTCCTCACCTGCCTGAAACAACTCAAACAAACAAATGAAAAACATACAAACAGAAAAAATGTCTGAAATAATGGTTTCCATATATTGGCCCCAAGAAGCCCGTGACAGTGATCTGGGAGGGAGTGGAAACAAACAAGATGAAACCTACGATTGCCCCCGGCTGGCTTGCACTGGAGAGAGTTTCCAGACCCCTTCCAGCAGGAGGGGAAGCCAGACAGAGCCCAGCGGTCAGCCCGACTTGAGTAGATGGAGGTGGAGAAGCCAGCATAGCTTGAGTTTGCTGGGCGGCGTGCCAGGCGGGAGGGGGCTGCACGGAGAGCACCCCGGAGATCTCAGAGGGTCCCCCTCAAGTCTTCAGCAGAGTCAGGCGTGATCAGCACGTGCATGCGGGCAGGGAAGGAACCACCCGGGAGGAGCAGAGGGAACCATCTCAAAGCACACGCAGGCCTGAGCGTAGCTCACTTTCCCACCATCCAGAATGGGGCAACCTTGCACTGCAGAGGGCATCTGGTGGAGAATTGAGCCAAATTCACTCTAGAGAAAAGGTCACTCTGGTCCCACCTCACAAAGCATGCAGGCAAGCCCCAGAGAGAACAGTCTGTTTCCAAGGAACTTAACTGTGTCCCCGGACAAAGCTCATTTTTACAATGAAATTCTCAATCATGTTGTTCTTTATTACACATCCCTGATTGTGCAAGAAAGATTGATTCTTGATTGATACCCCCAACAAAACTAGGATGAATGTTTTTCTAAGAAAAGGACCGTATGAGATAATCCAATACCACTGCATTATGCACCCTTTTCACTTTTTCTCCATGTGATAATACAATAATATATTGGCTCTCTGCTGTCACATAACAAGTTATCCCATAAAAAGCAACAGATATGTTTATCTTACCCAGTTTCTGTGGTTCAGGAACTTGGGAGTGACTTAGGCTGGCTCAGGGTCTCTCACGAGGTTGCAGGAGCGACTGCTGCCATGTCATGGAAAGCCTGACTAGGGCTTAAGGATCCCCTTCTGGAATGACTCAACTGAGGCTGTTGGCTGGAGGCCTCAGTTCCTCACCATGTGTGCCCTTCCCTCGGGCTGCTTGAGTGTCCTCCCAACATGGCGGTTGGCTTTCCCCAGACTGAGTGACCCAAAGGAGAGCAAAGAAGAAACCACAACATCTTTGATGATTCGCCCTGGGAAGTCACATTTACCACTTCCACAGTGCCATATGAGTTACACACGTCAGCCCTGTTCAGGTGGGAGGGGGCCACATTAGGCCAGGTATTCTAACAGGCAGGAATCACGGGGGCCCTTTTGCAAGCTGGCTACCACATAGAGTCATGGATGGCAGGGAATAAACACTATGTGTTAGCCACTCCTCTATGTTCTTTATACAACAACTCTGTAGATACAATGAGAGGTTAAATAACTTGTTCAGACCACTAAGCTAGGCTGGGCATTGTGGCTCACATCTGTGATCCTAGCACTTTGGGAGACTGAGGCTGGCAGATTGCTTCAGCCTGGGAGTTTGAGAACAGCCTGGGCAACGTGGGCCAAACTCCATGTTTACAAAAAATACAAAAATTAGCCAGGCAAAGTGGCACGTACCTGTAGTCCCAGCTACTTGGGAGGCCAAGGCAGGAGGATCGCCTGAGTCCAGGAGGTGGAGGCTGCAGTGAACCGTGATGGTGCCACTGCGCTCCAGCCTAGGTGACAGAGTGAGACCCTGTCTCAAGAAAAAAGACAACTGAGCTAGTAAGTGCCAGAGACGGTTTCCAAACTCAGATGAGTGTGTGAGTGTGGATCAACACGTCCCTTGCTGCCACAGGCCCATCTCATGGCCCCTCCTGGTCCCTCTCTCTGCTGAGCCTTTGTTCCCACGCAGGGCCGATGCCCACAGCACCCCGACAGATGTTTCCTCTCCTTCTCACAGAGACCTTGAACAAATGATGTGCAGTGGGTATTGGTCTCAAGCCCATTCAAGCTCCTGGGATCCTTGGAGACACCTCCCTTCTCGGTGCCAGGCTCGTCACAAACTGGTTGACAGCGGCAGCGATGACAGTCATCCTCACTGCCTCTTTGACCTCTGTGAGTCTTCTTTTTTACAGGGATGGTGTCATCTTTGCAAAAAGACATGTTAGCAAAGGATGAGCAAGTTCAAGAACTAAAGGAAAAAGTCAATCAACTAAAAAGTCAGAACAAAGACAAGGACCACCAGCTGGAAGCCCTTGGTTCTAGAGTGAGTACGGATGACTGTATCACCTTCTTGTAGCCATCGGGTGAAAAGCAACTAAAGTGAAGTCACGTGATTTGCTCGTTTCATTCCCCCTGGGCTCTTGTTTTAAATTTAATTCCTTCCTCTCACACCATTGTGCTGGGGGCAGGGGGTGGGGGACAATGTCCACCTAGAAAAACTAGAACAGCTAGCCAATTCTTTGCAGCTTTTCAAGGAGCGGCATGCATGTGCCCTAGAATAAGCAAGATGTAGCTTCAACTCCAGGAAACATTTTCTAATGCCCGTTATAAATGAGTTTGGTTAATTCCAGCAGTAAATGCACCTCTCAGCATGGATATTTCCGTGGCAAGGCTTAATATTAAGAATAGAATCACTGCATGCAAAAGAGGACACGGTGGGCTTCACCTCATCCCAGTCACCAATGGTTTGCACAGGCACCTTCGAAGCAGAATGTTTGCGGATCCAAGTGCAGTTAGACAAACTTTCATTTCTTCCCTTAGACTTTATAGTGTGCATAAGAATATTCTGTGTAGTGAACCTGGTAGGCAAGTCAAGGGCTGTTTAAAAGTAATTTTGAGGCCAGCCACAGTGGCTCATGCCTGTAATTCCAGCACTTTTGGGAGGCCGAGGTGGGTGGATCACACGAGATCAGGAGTTTGAGGCCAGCCTGACCAACATGGTGAAAATCCGTCTCTGCTAAAAATAACAAAAATTAGCTGGGCGCCTATAATCCCACCCACTTGGGAGGCTGAGGCAGGAGAATCACTTGAACCCAGGAGGCAGAAGTTGCAGTGAGCTGAGATCGCGCCATTGCATTCCAGCCTGGGCAACAAGAATGAAACTCCGTCTCTAATACTAATAATAATAATATTGACTATTTTCAAAATTTACCTCAATGCTCTGACTTTAGAATCCTGAACCTATAGGATTTTTCAGTATTTGTGAGATGTGTCTGTTTCGGTGAGTCAAGGTAAAACCTAACAGCTTTCATCTCAGGTGTGCCTGATGAGTTCGCCAAGTCTGCACGGGTACCCTGGTGGGGTGCATCTGGGGGTGGATGCATGGGGTGGATCTGGGGGTCCAAGGACAAAGCAGCAGAGGTGACTTCTGGCGCCGACTGCAGTGCCTCAACTGGAGCTGGGGAAAGGCAGGACAGGAGCCCCGGGGGCACACAGACAGGGTCTGAGCCCAGAGTGGGCTTTTGTTGTAACTGATGTGGCCTCCCCTTTGTCATCAGCGAAATGGAAATAACAAAATCAGTTTTGAGAAGTGAGAGGCCGGTTTTCATTGTGCGCTTCTGCCTCTGCGCCTGGTTAGCCCGCCTCGACAAGCCCTCTGCATCGGTCTCCCGAGCAGGGTCACCGCCTGGATTACATGTGTTGTCGCGGTTTCAGGTGTGGAGTGTGTGTGTGTGGGGGGTGTGTGTGGGTGTATGTGGGTGTGGAGGTGTGCTGTGGGGGGGGGTGTATGGGCCTGTGGGGGTGTGGATGTGTGTAGTTGAGTGTGTGGATGTGTGTGGGTGTGGTGTGCAGGTGTATGGGTGTGTGGGAGTGTGGATGTGTGTGAGTGTGTGGGTGAGTGGATGAGTGTGGGGTGTGTAGGTGTGTGCGGGTGTATGGGTGTGGGGGTGTGGATGTGTGTAGGTGAGTGGGTGAGGGTGCGTGTGGGGTGCATGGGGGTGTGGATGTGTGGGTATGGTGTGCGTGTGTGGATGTGTGGGTGTGGTGTGTGGGTGTGATGTGGGGGTATGTGTGGGGTGCATGGGGTATGTAGATGTGTGGGTGTGTGTATGTGTGGCTTGGGTGTGTGGGTTGTGGTGGCTGGGTGTGGTGTGTGGGTTGGTGGGATGTGTGGGTGGGTGTGGTGTCGGGTGAGGTGGGGTGCGTGGGGTATGTTGGCGTGTGTGGATGTGTGGGTGTGGGTGTGGGGGTGCATCGCTGGGTGTGTGGGGTATGTGGCATGTGTGTGGTATGCGGGTGTGTGGTCTGGTGGATGTGTGGGTGTGTGGGGCCTGTTGGGGTGTGTGGGGTGTGTGGGGAGGTGGGTGGTGGGTGGTGTGCGTGGGATGTGGTGGGTGTGTGGATGCGTGGTGTGTGAATGTGTGGGTTGTGTGATGTGTGGGTTGGTGGGTGGTGGGGTGTGTTGGGGTGTGGGTGTCGTACGTGTGTGTGTGTGGCTTGTGGTGGGGGTGCGTTGTGGGTGTGTGATGTGTGGTGTGTGGGTGTGGTGGGGGGTGTGTGTGTGTGGTGGGGTGCGTATGGGGTATGTGGATGTTGTGGGGTGTGGTGTGGTGGGGTGGGGTGTCGGGGGTGCGTGTGAGTAATGGTGTGTGGATGTGCTGGTGTGGTGTGGGGGTGCGTGTGGGGTGTGGCTGTGGTGGTGGTGTTGTGGGTGTGTGGTGTGTGGTGGTGTGGGGTGTGTGGTGGGTGTGTGTGGATGGCGTGGGGTGTGGGGGTGAGTGTGGTGCGGCAGGTGTGGTGTGGGAGTGTGTGTGGGTGCCCGTGGGTTGCGTGGTCGTATGTCGGTGTGGTTGTGGTGTGCGTGGAGTTCATGGGGTGTGTGGATGTGTGGAGTGTGGTGTGGTGGGGTGTGTGGATGTGTGGGGCTGTGTGGGGTGCCAGTGGGGTGTGTGGATGTGTGGCTTGTGGTGTGATTTGGTGGTGTGCGTTGGCTGGTGTGGGTGGTGGCGTGTGGTGTGGGGTGGTGAGGGCATGTGTGTGAGTGTGTGCGGGTGGTGTGGGGTGTGTGTGTGGGGATGCCATGGGGTGTGGATGTGGGTGTGTGGGTGTGGATGGGTTGCGTTGAGTGGGTGGTCGTGGGGTTTTTTTTGGTGAGTGTGGTGTGGGGGTGTGTGGTGGGCGGTGCGTGGCGGGTGGTGGATGTGTGGCTATGGTATGGGTGTGGTGTGGGTGTGTGGGGTGTGTGTGGATGTGGTGGGTGTGGTGTGGTGTGGTGGGCTGATGCTGTTGTGGTGCGTGGGTGTGTGGATGTGTGGCTATGGTGTGGGTTGGTGTGGGGTGTGTGTGGGTGTGTGTGGATGTGTGGGTGTGGATATTGGGTGGTGTGGGTGTGTGTGGTGGTGTGGTGGTGCGGTCGTGCCCGTGGGGTGGTGAATGTGGCTGGTGTTCTGTGTGCGGTGGGAGTGATTGTGGGGTGGTGTGCGGTGCTGTGGTGTGGTGGTTGTGGTGTGTGTGGTGGACAGGGGTGTGTGTGGGGGTGCGTGGTGTGTGTTGTGGGATGTGGTGGCGGTGTGGTGCCTGGGGTGTGTGCGTAGTGTGTGGTGGGGTGCATGGGCGGTGTGTGGATGGTGTGGGGGTGTGGTGGGGTGCCATGGGCCTGTTGGTGGAGTGGGTTGGGGGTGTGTGTGGTGTGTGGGATGTGTGGTGTGGTGTGGGTGTCGGGTGGGGTGTGTGTGGGGGTGCGTGGGTGTGTGGATGTGGTGTGGTTGGGGTGTGTGGTGGGGGTGCGTGGGTGGTGTGGGATGTGTGGGCTATTGTGGTGGGCGTGTGGTGTGGGTGTGTGCGGGTGTGTGCGTATGTCTGGGGTGTGGCTGTGGGTGTGGTGCGGGGTGGTGTGATGTGTGGGTGGGGTATGTGGATGTGTGGGTGGTGTGGTGGTGGTGCGTGGTGGTTGGTGGGGTGTGTCGGTTGGATGTAGAAGGTGATGCTTAGGGCTTAGTTAAGAATATGGAAGAAACAGCCACCTCCAGGGCCCTCCTTCTATCCCACAAAGCTGCCATTTGGTTTACTTGCGCGTCCCTTCCCTTCCTCGCTGGACCTTTGGAACAGGTCTGCCTTCTCTCCACGGGGGGCCGAAGCACCTGGCATTTATCAGCACGTCGGGCTCCCTTCGCTCGCGCGCGCCCTCTGCTCATGTGAACATCCGAACGTATGGACTGTCTTTATTTTTCAAATTACGTGTGCATATGAATTAGAATAAAATGTAGGATAAAACTGGAAAGCAAGTTAAAGAAGAGAAGAGGGGGAAATGCACCCCAAGGAAATCTGGTCAAGTACTTGAGTGCATATTCCTCCTTGTTTTTGTTTTAAAATATTACCTTGGAAGAAAAATACCTCTGTAACAGATATGCTAACCAACAAATTTACACTTTGACACAATTTTTTAAAACTTTAAACAACTACGTTTCCCCACATGGATAAAGCTTTCTCTCATGAGGTCTCTTAAGAGTCCAATCATAATTCCTTGTCATGCACACAGTGGAACAAACAGCCCCTGGGTTACGGACATGCGTGTTTTCTTTTTTTCTGTTTGTTTTTTTTGTTTTGTTTTTTGAGGATGGATCTTGCTCTGTCTCACTCTGCCAGGCTGGAGTTCAGTGGCTGGAGTGCAGTGGCTCACTGCAACGCTCCCGCTCCCGGGGTCATCCGGCCATTTTCCCTGCCTCAGGCTCCCGAGTAGCTGGGGACTACAGGCCGCCCGCCACCGACACCCGGCTTAATTTTTTGTATTTTTAGTAGAGACGGAGTTTCCCGTGTTAGCCAGGAGTCTCGATCTCCTGACCTCATTTATCCACCCGCCCTCAGCCTCCAAAGTGCTGGTGATGACAGGCGTGAGCCCACGCACCCGGCCGGGTATTTCCTTTTAGTTCACTATAGCTAACAATGCTCTCAAAAACATCCCTGAACCCACAGACTTGCTGATGTGCCTGACCATTGTCCTTATACATTCCTGAAGCAGAATTTCTGGGTCAAAAAGGAGGCCCGTTATTTATGTTCTTAATGCCTGTTGCCAAATTGCCCTCCGGAACGGCTGCTCCATTTCCACCGCCGCTCCCAGCGCAGTGGTGTCTTGGAGGCGTAAATTGCATAGGGCACTAAGCGCCGTCCAAGCTCGCTAGTGGCCCTCCGAGGACATCAGCGTTTATTCCTCAGCACAGACTCTCCAAAGCTGGATTTTCCTTACGGTTTAGATTGCTGGCTTTTGAAGATGAGAGTAGTGGCTTTATTCCTCTGATTTCCTGAGTGGAGAACCAGGAATGGCTGCAGGATCCTGTGTGCCTGTCAGACACCATGGGATGCCTTTGGGATCTCAGTGGGTGACTGGATGGAAACAGCAGGAAATGCTCTCAGGGGCTCACACAGGGCCTTGGAGCCCCTCCTTACCCCTACAACCCTACCTGGCCAACCTCGCTCTCTTTCTGTCGCCCTTTTCTCCACAGTGCTCGGTGCTAAAGGAAGAGTTAAAACAGGAAGACGCTCACAGGGAGCTCAGGGAAGCCCAGGAGAAAGAGTTAAAACTCTGCAAAACTGTGAGTTGAGCTTCCTCCTTCGTAGCTACCACCGGAAAAACCAGAGTTTGACCTTCGGGTTCTCGGTGGGATCCTGGGCCATCACTAAGCACGAAGCTCTGGGGCCCTGTGCTTGCTTAACAGTCTCATCGCTCTTTGATCTGCTGCTTCTGCAAGAAA